TACTTGCCAACCTAGTGGAAGCATCAGCAATTGAATGCAGAAAAAAACTTGAAAAAGTGAAAGCTGTCTTGGCCTTTAAAGATGAAGGATCAATGCATAATGCTACTAACCAGCAAATAAATTGCACTTTCAGGGTTTTTGATAGAAAATTTGGGCAAATATAGTTGCCTGATATTCAGAAATACAGCACATCATTTAATACTATTTCAGCCAAGCTGACTGGGGGAAAAAAAAAAAGATTTATAAGCATTGTAAAGTTAAAAAAAAAAAATTCAAACTAAAGTTTTAGAAATCATAAGACTGTGTTATTACCAACAAACCAGCAAACTTTCTGTTGCTACACCATGCCTCCTTATATGGGGTGGGATAAACTTGTAATTTTCTCATGAATGTAACATCCTGCATTAACCACATATGGACTTTATGTAACCTCCATTCTCTTTCAAGCATGCCACAGAAATCAATCATTTCAAATGGACAGAAAAAAAAAATAACTGAATGGCATAATTCCAACAGGATGTAGCCAGTTTCAATAAAAATATGTATACGCAACTTTTGGGGAGCCAAAAGGCCAGGAAGATGTTTTCACAGAACTACGGCCAAACAAACAGATACTCTGGGCTCGAGTCTTATCCAGGACTGAACGGGATTTCCACAAGAGATACATTCTTGCTCTCAGTGGCTTCCTTAGCCTTCTAAAGGTTCCCTTTTCTTATGAAACCTTGCTAGCTGCCAGGCACAGAAATAGAGAAAAGAATCAGGAAATTCAATACATTAAAGAAAAAAAATTCTGGAGTGATTCAGCTGCGGAAGTGAGAAAGGAGCTAGCACACTAAGTCTATAATTACACAGAAGGACCAATTGCATCTTCGCTAAATCAAGACTTCACTGGATGATCTAAAGGCCCTGCAATGGAAATTGTCTTGACTCTCTTTTAAATTTCCCAAGCTGACCTGGTGACCAAACTGAGATCAACACCTTGTGCAGAAAGAGCTGGCAGCAGATCCTCAGACTCTTGTCTTATACCATGTCAGTCACTATAACTGTGTCCATATGCATTTCTGCCTATTCTTATAGCACACCTTCTCACAAAACAGGACCAAGGCACAAAATCTTAATCATCGAGTCTCAGTTACTCAATACAAGAGGGGAAAAAAAAAAACACAGTGTGCTATCCACATGATTAAGCATGTAACTAGCACTTAGTCTATTTTGTCCGCTATTGCACTGAAGCATGTATGTAAATAATGGCCATTATGCACTCAGCTTTCATTAGACTTAGGAATTTGCTGTAAATGGGTGAGAGGGTCAGTCCAGAACTTTATAGAAACGTGCCTTTCTTCTGATTTAAGATGTAACAGAAGCTGAAAGGCAGCATTCTCTGTCTGATGAACTATTTGTGACATTTTTACAGCACTTTTAAAGAAAACTTCCAGATATGTGCTAAATAATGTTTAACACATTTTTCTCACTAATTTTGTCACTTAAGGTCTTATGAAGTGAAGATCTGTTTAAAAAAAAAAAGGGGGGGGGAGAGGAAGAAAAAAAGTTGTTGGTCCCATTCAAACCTTAGAGTGGCTATCAACAAGAACAGTATTGCTACCAGTTGGTACCGATACAACAGTAATACCAGGTGCATGCATGCTGCATATGTAGGACGTATCTGAGAAATGGTTGAACTGAAAGACACTGAGCCATCTATAGGTAAAGGATACCTATAGGAAAAATGGCATCATTTTTGCAGTACATTTATGAGAACATTTTGTTGCACAAGTTCTCAAGCTATATCCAGGGGCAAATAGTGCCACACTGCGAGTCCTGCACAAGGGAGGATACAACAACTCACATCAGAAAACTAATGCTTTGAGGTCAGCATGTTCAGCTGACAGTGATAATTGCAAAAATCCATGAAAAACGGCTCCACAGTATTTAACCATTAATGTGCCCAGCATCTGTTTTCTAACAGCCGTAGCCAGCACAAGTTATGTTCTTCTGTACAGGTTCAGGTTTGCTGAAATGTCAGATTATCTGAAACCATACAGAAATACAAGAAAAAAAAATTCTTCCCTACTGTAGCTTGTGTTTCCAGCTGCTGTCAGAACATACATAAGGAATAGTGATTGTAATGCAAGCTGAGTTTTATCCCAGGACAGTTTTACATGCGGATACATGGGCTGAAGGCACAAGTCTCAGTTTGGTCATGTTCTACAGCATAACTCTGTTGGAGAAAACTGACTGAGGCACAGTTAGAAATGCAACTCAAATCTCAAACGGAGAATGAGCCTTTCCCTGGGGAACTATACTGTACGCTCCTTGACAGAAAGCTAAATTCCAGATCTCTTTTCAGGTATCTTTAAATACTGTGATCAATCATGAAAATATGTGCTGAGTGTAATTCCCTTCATGAACATCCCTCTGAATCTGGAACCAGTCTAAAAACAATACCTGAGAGAGTCACAAAAACAGCCCTATTCATGTAATGGATTAACCCTGAAACCTGAAAATGATGATCTAGATATAATCAATCTTAGTATTTCAAAGCCTATCTTTGTAGCAGAAACCTCCACCTTCAGACAGGAAAATACACTAGAACTTCCAAGCCCTCAAACATAGAGAACTCTACTGACTATCTATTTACCTACTTTAGCACCCTAAACCTTTTTTTTTTTTTTTTATTTTATTTACTGAAATAAATGTTCTGTTTGCCCCACCAGACGGGCACATCATCCAGATTTTGCAGCAGAGGTACAGTATGCTATGCTGTTTGCCACTTCACAACTGTTTGCCCTTCTTTCTGCTATGAAGCCACACTACAGCAAAATGCGATTTTGCCAGCAGCACTGAGAGGCATTAAAAAAAATGGAAACTGAAGAGTCACAATGTTAACTATTTTTTTTAAAAGTTAAATAATCTCTTTTACCTATCATTGTATTTCACCTCCTCTCCATTCTTCGCCCAGCTGATGGTGGGCTTCGGGTTTCCCACTGCTTCGCAGTGAAGCAGCACACTGAGTGTGCCACTGGCTAGGACCACTGTTTGTCCCAGGTGGGTGACAACCTCTGAGGCAGAGAGCTGTTGTGCTGCTGAAATTTTTCGGAGGATGGCAGGCTTTCGAGGAGGTCTGCGTGAACCGTTTGCCAGGTCCACAGAGGTGGGAAGAAGTGCTTCAGCAGAAGTAGTCCTCAGGGAGCTGGCAAAGCCAGAAACACGTTTGTGAAAAGGGTACTCTACTGAGGTGAAATCAACTCTTCGCCTTGGCGCTTTAAGGGCAGATTCCTGACGCTCCAAGTGGCTCTTGAAAACTTCACGAGCCAGCTGTACAATAAGTTGCTCAGTGTAGACCTCTTTAAGCTCCTCAGGCTGCTGAGACAAATTCCTTATGATATCATCCAAGTGTTTCTGCTCAGTGACCATAGTGAATGGGAGGCTGTACTCCTGGCTCTGGTCCTCTTCTGAGGATACATTTCTCTCCGTAGACTCCTGGGCTTCCCAGGACTCTGGATTTTCCCCTGGCCAGCCCTTGTGCTGTAGCAGCTTTGAGACAATTTCATCATACCAGCTACTGAGGTCAGCAAGATGTCCTCTTTTTTCAGCCTTGCTCCCATTGAAGAGAATCCCATTGAGATGTTTCTCCTGAGTTCGCAAGGCTTCATTTAAATTGGCCTTTTTCATAGCTTCTTCCTCCCTAATGCCAGCTGGTTGCCCAGCAATGAGCTTCTTGTTGCTTCCAATTAGTTTAATTACAAAATACTCCCGGGCTGGCCCTGCCGTGCAGGTGTATGTCCCAGTGTCTGAGGGCTTCAGACGATGAATTTTCATATAACCATAGGGTACAATGGTGATGTGAGCTGAGCTGATGAGTCTTTTGTCATCCTTCTCCCAAGTGATCATTGATTTCCGGATCCTTCTTGCAGGGCATCGGACAACAATGGAGGTTTTAGGCAGCAGGTAGGCATACCCACCCACAATAAAATGTAGCTTCTTCTGCTTCCTTGTCTGGATGTAAACTTTCTTTGCAGCCATAATATGGGGGCTTTGCTTATGAGCTGGCCTGTTGTGCCCTGAAATATCATTAATACTATTAGTATGCGATACTATTAAAATAAAACAAGCCGTTTACTTTGGCATGGGCAGCATTTGATCCATTAACGAGCAGTGGGAGAAAGTGGTGACCGACTGCCGGAAAATAACAGAGCACACTTTAGGAATGCCAATGTCCTGCCCAGGGTACATGCAGAAACTAAAGTGCCAGGGACAGAACTTCACGAGAAGGAAAAACTGCAGCGGAAATGCAGTTCTCGTTGTTAAAGTATCTGAATGAAGCCAGTTGCTTAATAAATACATAAAAAGGATAAAGGGAGGGAGCCTAACACTTTTATACGTTTATCATCCAAACCCTGAAAGGCAACACAGTTTTGCAGTGCACAGCCATAAGGACAAGAGAAAGCACTGTTACCTAAGGGAGTAACACTGAACAGAACAAAACTGTTTGGAATAGGTTTAAAAAACATAGGATAGATACTATTAAGCTACATTAATTCAGCATGTCCTACCAGTTTCCAGACCTCTATGATAGAGATCTTCCTTACAAAGCACAGAACAAAACAGGATAGGTGCATTATTAGTAAGTAACACAAACATTTGATCCCAGCTTTGGCTCCGACCGTTAGCTGTCCTCCCTGAGGTACCCAACGTTTAGCAGGTTTTAGAGCTCACATTCTGCTTTAAGCTGAAGTCAAGTTCACTTTCTAATTTGCACATGTCCAACTGGATTACTGTAAGCCAGGGCACATAGGGAGACTACTGCTCTTGTGAAAGGCAGCATAAAGTATATGAAATCCCAACATAAAATATGTCTAACTTATGTTGCATGGTTCCGTGGCAATCTCAAGTCATACAGGGTTCTGTGTGATTTTAATGAATGAATGTATTTTTAAATCATATTGAACAAAATCCCTTACCAACTATTTTCTTTGAGGCCATTCTGGTAGAGTGCTAATTTGCACCTGCCATCAGGCTGCTGAGTTGTATCTCTGAGCCCCTATATTCCAGTTGTGAAATTTAGACCTTAGAGCTGGGTCAGAATTTTGAGCCAATTCTTCCAGAAATGAGTAGCTGCCTTCCAGCATATGGGCTTAGACCCAGTTCCAACAGTAAAATTTATAGCTTTCATCCATGGGTTGCCTTGTTGCTACACAAGACAGAAATTCTAACTCAGTAACAGCAAATACTCTGCAATACTGAACAACACTAGAGGAAGAGATTGTTATGGAGCATGCGACGGCATGAATTTCTTAGTGATGGATTTTCAAGTCCCCTTTCCCCAAACACTCTCAAATGTCTTGCCCACTTACTTGCACAAGTAGCTAGTGCACAGGGCCTGACCAAGGATGAGAATGGCAAAGGTGGGCACAGGGAGGAATTGATGATAACTGAACCACCAGTTTTCAGCATCTTTCTGCAAATGGCATTTCGAGTCTGGGTGCCCTCTCCACAGCTCACTGAACACTAGGAAGAGAGTAAGGACCATTAGGAACAAGGTATATTAAAAGAAAGGAGTGCTTCTGCCCCTTACCCCATCCCCCCATAGCATACTCATTGTCTGTACTCACTGTACAGATCTATAACAGCTTCCAAAACACAACAGTGGAAGAAAGCAGAACAGTGCCTGGCCATTCAGTTACAGATAATCACAATGCAGGCACGCTGGGGCGGTGAAACAATAAGTATTTTTTGTCTTTTGAGTGCTTGACTCTTCCTGCAGTCTCTTTAGCACTTTATTCTCTAGGGTGGTGTCCCTTGTTTTAACAGTAGTGTGCCACAGCATAAAGCTTGTCTTTGCATATTGTTTCTGTATGTCTGTGTAACTCCTGTTCACAGCCAAGAGCGGACCACATCGAGTTTTACCTCATAGATAAAATATTTTTCTGCTAAAATCATTTAGGTTGGGCCAAACAACTTTCAAGCCTCGCTGTTGTACTGCTATTACGAATAACACACGTGCATCAGATACCAAGAAGTTACTTCAGCTTGGTGGGTACCAGACATGTTCTACACAAAAGAGTATAGACCATCTCATCCTGGACTGTAGTGCTCAGCGCACATGTGTGCATTGTTCAAGGGAATTTAGCATGCCTTCTTTATTTTATATTTATGTACACAGCATCACAGTAAGTGAGAATACAGGCAGTGTTATCGCACTGGGACCCAGGCAGCAACCTGTAAAGGTGCTGGAAAGTGGCTGAGCCCTGGAAGGTTGGCAGCACAGAGCAATACACTCATTGCATTAGAACCCATGTTCATGACATTGTACACGTGTTTGTGCTACCCACAGGTGCATACATACAGAAACAGGAACCGGAGATGGAATTAGAGCGAGGAAACAAGGGTGAGTAGAGTGAAAAAAGGATAGCCTTCAAAAGAAGTGGAGAGGAAGGGGAAAGTGAAGTTAGGCTTGTTTTTAAAAAGTGCTAGCATGTAAAAATGTGAACTGTACAAATATTAACATAAATCATTTAGTAAAAATGTTAAAATCCACTTCTTGTGAAGGAGGACAGGTTGAGAATAGAATTACCATCTTTTCTGCCAGAATGGACGTGTGTCCTGGCAATAGATTTCATGAGAACATCTGTTTATTTGACTAAAACTTCAAGACAGATCAGCATATGAAGCGTCAAGGTGGAACAGCTACCCGAGGTGACTGGCGTTTCCTTCACAATTAAGTACCAGTCACCTCCTCACATGAAGAACCAGGAGAATGGTGGCAGAAAGAGCAATTAGGGGAACAGTTTTTATCCTTACAGGTATTAAAAGACTCAATTTTATTTTCAGTTATGCTGTTATAAATATAACAGACATTTTTCTCAAGTCCAGGTGGGACTAGAAAGGAAGCCTGGGGAAGTACAAATGACTCCAGTACAGTAAGTCTATTTTGCCATCCCTAAACCGAAGGAAGGAAATAACCGCAATATAGCAAAAGGAGTGTCCTAGAATGAAAGGGACTATGCTACCCTGGAGGCCTGGTGCGTGCACCCATGCTGATACACCTACAGCAGGCTGGAGTAATTTTTCCCTTCTTGTCTCTGCATCGTAGGGAAAAGCTGGAGAGGTCCCAGGCAGAAAAGGCTATCGACATCAGAATTACATCCACAGTGCCAGGCTTTGGAAAGAAAAAGCATTTAGCCTGGGAAAGTAAAACTTACTCTTTGTGGATGCCTTGGATGAACAGAAGCAAAGGACAGAGCCAGGGATGTATTGTTTGGAGCATGGCTCCTGTTTACCCCAGAAGGAAAGTCTTGATGGTTGGGCTGGAAGGCTAAAACATCTGTGGACGCAATCTCCAGAGAAGGGACAATGAGCCAGTGATCACATCCCCCACCAGGATGATTAAGAGCAGATTACAGGACAAAACTGGGCATAGCAGGTTTTCTGCAGCCCAAACATGTTTGGATCCTTTATCTCGAGTGACCAAGAACTTCATCTCCACGAACAGCACAAAACAATTCCATCAGACAAGGAGACAGACATCCAGCACTGGACACCTCATTCATACAAGTAACATACCTGTGTCCAGTCAGAGAGAAGCCACTCATTGGGACAGTCCTCAATTCTGCAGGCTTGTTGGGAAACGGGTCTTGGAGCAGAGCAGAAGGTCTCTGGAAGCTCTAGAAAGCTTCCATCTGCCAGATGCTGCTTGCAAAGTGTATCTCGTTTCTGGACACCACCTCCACATGTCTGTGAACACTGGGGGAGATGGGAGTCAGCCACTCTACATTACCCTTGCACCATGGCAACTTGCAACAAAAATTAATTTACGAATTCGGGTAGGAATTAACATGCAGTTTTAGCCAAACAGAAAATATAACCAAAAATTTCAGACATGTCAAAGCAGACTTCCCTTTAAAATGTCAAAAATATTTTGGAAAGTGAAAGCAGCTTATTCTGCTGATATTTAGAGAACTGCTTCAGCATTTCTGAAATATTTTCTTTTCAGACATTTGTACAAAAGACACAGAAACAACGGGTTAGAACTGCAAAATGGAGGTGGAAAAGTTGTCCTTTTCTATAACCAGCAGCTGGAAAATGAGCAGCTTATACACGACATGGAGGATCTAGATTCCTATGCTTCTGCTTGAAGCTGTAATTGTGCTACTGGAAGTTTTAGAGCAGGTAGAAGAGTCTTCTCCAGCAGCAGATGATTCAAGGCCTTCATTTCCAGGATTTTATTTTACCTCTTAGATCACATTAGCCAGGAATCAAATATTGAGCTTGAAACAAATATTCAAATTTAGCTTACTAAAAAGAGGGTTTAGCAAAAAACAAACAGACAAACAAACCAAATCCCAAACCAAAAAAACCAAACAAATGAAAACAAATGAGACTGTGTTAAATAAAAATTTCCTCAGTATTACTTTGCCTTTTCTTCCTTTTGTAATTTTCTAGTTGCTCATCCCTGACCTGCAGACACTAACTGTTGTTAGTGCAGCCCAAAACATAACTGTTCCGCCCTGAATTCCTAGCTTTGCAGACCTCTTGCATTATGGCATTTCTCTGTTATTTAATTCATGTGAAATCTGTATATCAGCTGTGATACGTTCACAGATGTTAGTCTCAACAACTGATTCACAAGGTTAGGGCAATAAACCATTAAGTAACCATGCAGCCCTTTTCTATTTAAGGCTGTCACGACAGCAGCGTGTGCTCTTTCCAAAAGGTAAGGAGAAAGGTTTATTTGAGTCAAAGCAAATCTGGGTGATTAATATCCAGAGAATCCAGTTCCCCTCTCTCCTTAATGTAAATATCCCCTCTGTATCCATTTTCCACACATGCAAGGCAGGAAATTTTGAACAAGCAGATATAAGTGCTTTCCCTGACTCTTTTTGTCAACATAGTGGCTCATCCCCATTTCCTGAGTAGCTTTTTCCTGAGGCTGGTAACAGGCTCCCGTTCTTCTGCTCAGTCCAGGCAGCACAACTCCACTTCTCCTCTCTTAGCAAAGTGGAAAGGGGAGCTTGCGCTACACTGAAATTAGCAGGAGCTGTTTTTAGCTTGCAACAGGGGAATTATGCCTACGAAGTGGAAAACCACATGAAGAAATGTTAAAACATACACTTAAGTAGTTAAAAAAAGGAATTATTTATAAAATCTTGCACACATGAGAGAGCACTGCATGAACTTTAATGCTAGCTTTATTTTTAGGATATATGTTTTCCTTGAAAGACAGAACACAAGGTGCAAACTTGAACATTGTGAAGAAAGAGTATCTATATTCAATTTAGTTTTCTCTCTAATGAGTAAAAATAGTTTTATTTTTAATAAAACTATTACAACTAGTTTTATTAAAATTTATTACTAGACTCATTATCCCACTTAGAATGCTACAAAGCTCAAAAGCTTTAAGAAATATTAAACTAGTAAAACAACACCCGAGTTTTCAACAAAAGAAAACATTTATCAACCTTTAATTCAAGTACAATTCATTCCCGAGGAGACAGTAAGTCAAGGGAAATACAATTAAAAGCAGTATTTCGAGGTTGCCTAAGGACTGCAGTTATATATCAGAGCCAGAATGGTTTAAGCTCTGTAGGCACACAACAAAAACATGTTCCCTGTTGCAGTCAAACAAATCCCAGCAAGTCTCTCTGCTCCTCCATCGCTACCAGATAAAACAGTAAGACAAACAGATTTTTTTTTTCTTGTCTCTTGCCCTTCAATCATTCACACAGCTTTTTTCCAGGAAGAATAATTAGCTACTCAACACTGAACTCTCTTGCCAAATACCAGAGAGAGACAAACACAGTAACAAGATTCCCTGCTGTCCACAGTAACTTTTCTAGGACAGTACTGGATTAGTGCACAAAAACGACTACTTTTTATTATCCTGGAATCGTCACTGATTTTTCTCTAACGGAAGCTCGCATTTGCTTCCAAGAAAAGGGGTAACTAATGAAAGCAATGTCTGCCTGGATCTACAGATAGTGTAAAACAGTAGTTCTGAGAAAAGCCTCCTTTGATCACATTCCATCTGAATTAACGTGCTAACTCTCCCTGCTGTTCAGAAAGATCACACAATGCTGTTTCAAGTACTGTTGTGTCTCAGAGAGGAGGTAAGTGCAGTGGTTTCATCCCACCAACCAAACTAGGTGAAGTGTCTCCTGCTATTCCTACAGCTTCTTAGCAGAGCCAAGTCCTGTATCACCCAGTGTTCCTTTAGTGGGGATCTGAGACTTTGCCAGGTTACTCACTCAGAGGGCTACATCACTCTACATTGCTACTTATTTACGCCTAGTTTAATAACTAGGTTAAGCAAATGTAAGCTAAGGCTGGGACCAAAGAAGACAATCTCTATACCCAAGTCTGCCAGCCACTCACTCCTGGTTTTGTGCTGCCCGTTCCCACATACTGGCATTTGCCCAGCTGCACAGTGAGCTAGACTGGAAAGTTAACCTAGTTTAGAGCCAGTTATATTTCTGGCTAGTTTTAACCAGGACCATTGTGTGATTGTATAGCAGTTCTGGAGATGTAAGGGAGGGGTTGCTCTAAGGGCAAGAAAGAGCTGCCCACAGCAGTTATTGTCTCCTTTAATAGAAAGGATGGCATGTGTTATCTTAAACTACTGGTGGAACTGTGGCCTTTGCTTCTCCCTCAACAGTCACTGCTTTAATTTTTTTTCCCCCCTACAAAAATCTGTAAAAAATAACTAATGCAAAGAATTGATAACCATTAGTGAAAGATGAGGGGGAAAGGGATCCACTCCACTTCAGCACAAGCTTACGGGCATCCATGCACACGCATAGGCTGCACGGGATTCAGGCAGAGCACCATTTCCATTATTTAGGAAGCAGGAAGGCTGGCTCCTTCTTAAGCTTGTGGGAAAAGGGCAGAAACTAATGGAAACTAAAGGGCTAGGCAGTTGTAGCTCTGCACCATAACTGTTAGCGGCTGGTGGAGGTAGCTGAACGTTTCAAAGCACGTCGTTGTTTGGTCAGTCCTCCTGATAACAGAGGCAGTCAAGGAAGGGGTTTCCCTACCCCTCAGTTTGGCCAGGTGTTATAATTTTGCACTACCCTCTGCTGAGCACCGTGGGATTAGCTCACCACAAGTTTTGGCTTTACTCTCAAAAACAACTTTTCTCATACCTTTTCTCTATAGTAAGCTAAAGCATTCGCAAAGGGAGTAGACATTTTTCTCTGTAGGTCTCAGCTGGTTTCTAAGGCTTGCCACCTGCAAAGGACTTTTTAATATATTGTAGAAATAGAGAAAAATAGCTAGGAAAATATCTGAAAAGGATACCAGTTTTCCCATGCTGACTATATTGCCATGTCATTGTTCTATCTTGTAACTGTCACGGATAGCACTAAACAACACGAAAAGAATACTGGGATTAGAGACTATAGCTTTTATTCAGTAATAAAACAAGCAGAGATGAAGATTCATTAATGGATGTCTCCCACTTGAGGTCTGCAGAGCAGATATCTACAGGTGCTTGTAAAAATGAAAGCTCATATCCATTTTCCTCCAAAAAATACACTACTGGGAACAAGATAAATATCCTCATGGATTTAGCTGAGAAACGGAACTATTTGAAAATAAACAGCTTCAAACCTGTAGAGAGGTACTGTAAAAACCATTTGGAAGGTTACAATACTGGTAATTATTGGGTGTTTATGTGCCAGGAACACTGGGGCTTTTAAAGGCATTTAATTCAGATAACTCTTCTTTAACCAGCATAAAGGGCCATAGAAAAGAAAACACTGGGCATTGCAATTTAAATCTTCTGTTTGTTTGTTTGTTCAAAACTATTGTGAGAGAGTGCTTGGAAAAGCACTATGAACTCCATGGATGAGAATGGAGAAATGGCTTCAGATCTGGACTTCCTGAGAACAGATTTCACCCTCTGTTCATCCTATCACTGGTGAAGCTTTGAAAGACACTTCGTAGCATGAGAAAGACACCTTCCTCCAGGGGTTCTGTTCACCCCACATGAGGGAACCCATCTCATACCTTGATGAGGGGTTCAGGAATTTGTTTGTTTTTCAGTACAGGTTCTGCAGTTTCAGCTTCTAAGCAGCCTTCTGCAGGATTTCTCCCTGGTGAAATAGTGAACAGCTGTGCTGTTCACCTCATGATTGGGCAGCTACGCTGGATAGCTTACCTTGAAGAAAAGAATCACCAAGAGTCTGAGCTACCACCGTGCAGTCTGGATTGCTTCTTCCCTAGCACATTTCATGAGCCAACCAGCTATAATAATCCCATGGTGCTACACGCTGGCCTGATGGTGCAGTTTTTCACATGGAGATCATCCACAGGTAAATCTATGTGGGGCAAAACCGTGAGGCCTAGCTTTCCTACTGATGGAAATAACAATAGAGGTTGGTGGTACAAACAAGGGAGACAGAAGTATTTAAGAATAAGTGGGTAGAAATTCATTTTGACTGGTTGCACTGCAATCTTTCCTCCTAACCTGAGGCAGGAGACCTGTTTATGCCATTTTCTTCTGGTGAAAAGTAAGCACGCTCAGTGCCCACACAGTAAGGAGCAATGTGCTCCACGGGGAGTTCAATCCTGCAAAGCCCACAGAAGTAAGAACAGAAGAGCTACAGTCTGGCCTTTGCTAAATTATGGCTATGAATTGCACCGCTTGTGCTCTGTCTCCATCCAGTACCGAGAAGTCAGCAACTAACACAAGAGATGTGAACTGAGCAGTCGTGGCGTCATAAGACAAAATCAGCTGACTGCTGAGGAGCCCCCACAGAGCTAACATGAACTTTTAGGCTATAACAGTAGCTTTCTACTTAATGTGTTAGACATTCTCTCATAGAGAGTGTCTGTTAATAAGTTTAGTTCGGAGAACTACAAATCTCTATATAATCTCATCAAGGAATAATTTGCTAACAGCAGCAAACCTCTTACGTCCACCATGTGCTGAAATATGGAGAAAAACTAGTGTCTCTGTGTCTACTGCCCATCCTGGACGAGTCTACACTGAATCACAGAATAAATATCATATGCAAAAGTCCATGTACCCTTTAGCAGGTTTAGATTTCATAGCAGAGAAGGCACCCCTAATCCAATTGCTAAGATGAAGCATGACAAAAGCTTTACACTATCATAGAACAAAAATGAATACCAACTGAGATAAATAATTATATTTTATCTGATAGACAAAGGATAGAGGTTAATATTGTACTCTAACTCATAAACTTAGTTAACAAATCAAATCTGCTGTAAAAATTTTGATTTAATTCCTGATTAATATGCTTGTTAAAGCCTTTATGCTTCACTGAGCTCCATCTTCCATAAAATATAATATACCTTTTAACAAGACTCTGTATTTGAGCGCCCCGGAGCGGGTATAAAAAATGGCTGAACTGTTATATAGATAGGGGGAAATACCTGTGTTTACACTTTGCAGAAAATGCCTGACATGAAAAAAATCAGTCTAGAAATTACTTTAGCAGAAACTATTTAGGTAGCTTTCTAGGGTGACCTATAGTCAATGGTTACTGTTAGCATGCCGAGTGTCAATTTTTCCATGTACAGTCATGTACGCCTCTTCTGAGTGTGTTCAGATAAACTCAAACAAAATTGCTATCTTAATTATAGGCCTTTTAACTTGGATAGGCACTCCTCATTCTAGCATATCCGAACTTCGAAATGCTTGACTTTATCATGTTGTGCGTTAATAGACTACTATTGGATATTTACAAACGTACCAGTGTAAACTAGAAATATTAAGAAGTTCAACTAAATCAATATGCATACATGAACCTCAGCAGATAAATTAACATTAAAGCATTAAATATCGCTGAATTATTTACAACAAGGGACTAATGCCAGAGGCTAGTCATCTGGCTTTGATAGAACATCAAGCTGGAATAAATTTTGGTTACAAGGACAGCAGCCCAAGCCCACAGCTTGCCCATGAACTATAGCTTCACAGAAATAACAATTTCATTAGGTAACTACATTAACATCTCCCTGGCTGTTAAGTAACTGGTAAATTTTACAGATGGAGACCTGCTGCGCATATTTAAGCACTGTGCCAAACGCCCATGGTTTTCTCATAGGATGGAGTGAGTCCTTTCACCCAGCAGAAAGTGGAAGTTCTACTCAAATTGCACTGTTAAGGTTTAAATCAGCCTTTTTCTGGCATCTCCACTAGACAGCAAATTTTAGCTTTCCTCTTGACAACAGAGCACAGTAATTTCTCCCTGTGCAATAGTAAATCTAACATAAGTACTCTTAAGTGTTCTGAATAGCACAGGCGTTTTCATTTGCAACCAGTTGACAGAAAATGAATTTATTTCACTTGTGATTTATAAAAATAAACATTTTCAAGTTACCTTCCAAAGACATAAAGCCTTCTACAGATGCACCGCAGAGACAAGAACTTCCAGTGTTAGTATAATAGGACACAGAGTCCCTCATGCGAAGTGCCTAACGCTCATTTGTGACTATGGACAACGAGGAGTGTTTCTTGCCCTACACTTAGTTATTACTTAAGAACATAAGGAGTACCTAACATGTTCTACAGATTCTCTGCTCCCTGATCTTTATAACTGCACATTTCTAGAGACGCTGGCATTGCTACATCAAACTACTGGTGGCAGCAGAACATTAGATTCAAGATCTTTTCTGCTTGGAACCTATATTCAGCGGTTAAGAGTTTTCTTTAATTTGGCGTTAGAAGCAGCAATACTGATTATTTACCTTTAATACACTTTTCATTAAAAAGGAAAAACCTCATTTTTTTTGGTTTTTTAACAAACAACTCACCAGTGCGACTAATGAACCCTCTTGGTGGGCTAACCTAAAATGTTGCACTGGTAATACAGGTAATGTCTACTTTTAACATGGGATTACTTATGCGTTCTTACCTCTTGCCATTCTGTAGGGTACCAGGAAGGTGGGCAATCAAAACGATTGCAGGCTTGCACAAGAGACGGTTTGGGTTTATAGCACAATTCATCTTCCAAAATCACCGTTTCGTTAGTTTCTCTTGATAGTAAGTGAGCACAGAAGACGTCTCTTGTCTGCAATCCAACCCCACAGGTAAGACTGCAGGTGCTCCACTTCCCAATCTCCCATCTGTGAGGGGGTCAGGAAAGAAAACTTTAAGCACAAAATAAAGTTACCTTAACCAATCTCTTTTTTATAATGACAATGGAGTGTGGGAACAGTAAATACAAAGGAGTATCCTCTCATGGCATCCCTTCTGCCAGCTGTATGATGAAACTGAGAAGAGTCTTTACTATACCTCTACATTTTCACATCAAATGCTTTTTTTCTTATCAAAAGCTCTTGGACTTCAAGTCTCTAGGAGACCTGCCATATCGTGGGAACAACTTTGTGTCTTAAATGAAAATCTACACTTGGCAAGAGACTGGCTAATGTACTTCAAGACCAAATAGACTTAACTAGATGGTTCTTTTCTGTCTTTTAAAGAAAAGGAGGAACCTAGTAACAAAACCTATCAAAGGACTATATCAGGGAAAGTCCCTAGGAAGGAAATTCTTCCAGAAGATCCTTTTGTGGAGTTCCTGACTGACTTTTTCTCACTGTGGAGGTAAGAAGTGATAAGACCTTAAGAGACTGAACAGGGATGTGAGGGATTCCTTTTCATCTCCTGGGTGAACTCCTACTATCGAGCCAAACCTACCCCAATTTAGCTGCGCAAATCCTTGATAAACACATGGGCCAACAGAAGCATAGCCTGAATTTTGTCTTTAAAGACACCCCAATATTCATCATGTTAAAACCAGATTTCTGCCATATGGGCCATTCTGAATAAATTTTCTAATTCTGTCAGCCATACAAAGAAAATTGCATAAAATGCTAGGTCCCACTCTTGTACCTTACTAGAGGGCACTTCAGATAGATGCAGAAACATGTACACAACCACGTCCTCTATTCACAGTGAAAATATAAGGAAAAATCCCTCAACCTTACACGAAACAGTAGACTGACATGGAGACGCTTCTACACACAAAATGAATGTATGAGGGCAGATGTTGTCATTTTTTCTAATACAGAAGAAGAGCTTCCTTTCTTGCACAATGCTCTGAAATTGATTGCTGCAGGAATAAATTAAACATTCAGGACATGGATGGCGCTTGAGAACACAAAGCCATACAGAAACTAAAAAGACAGATTACGGTGAAAGACACCTTTTAGAATCCAAATGCGGTAGAGCTAGACAATTAAGGAAAGTTATGAAACATAGAAGCAGCATGAAGTAGAATTTGTGGAAGGAGCAGAGGAAAAACATCCTGACAGTCTAAGAGCAAAAGTCAGTAGAAACTAATGAGCACATCTAAAATGCACAATGTTAGTAAACATATTACGGAAAAAATTATTCAAGGTCGTGACATCCTACAGTCAAACTATTCTAACTTCTTTGTTTATTTTATGAATCTGTGTCGTGCATTTGTTCCCTCTTTCTCTCTTTAACATCCACATCAAATTGAAACAGTTTTTAAGAAAGATTTTTTTTTTTTTCCTCCCAAGATGATAAAGTTGAGGAAACAAGCAGTGCAGGATCTCTCTCTCCCTCTCTCTCTCTATTCCTATATATTTTTATATATATATATATACACACATAGATACACATATACATATATATACACACAAATATACACACACACACATATATATGTATATAAAAAAATCACATTGCTCTCCTTCTGTGCTCCATCTGCTGATGGCATTCTGAGATTTTATACCAGGACAGGATGTGCCATGAGCATCACCGTAAAAGATACAGATATTGTAGTCTGCATGTAGATGACAGCATTGGTCGTGAAATACATCCTCTCTTCCCAAAATGGCATGGCACTGCTCTCCTAGGAACAACTATACACATGTGTTTAACCCTTTCCAAGGATGAAGACATACTGCATACTGAGGTAGCAGTTGTCATTGTCACTTTCCAGGCCATGATACGCTAAAGGCCAATTAAGTCCTGAAACATGTGCTGGAAGCTATTTAGCTGTGGCATAAAAATTACATTTGGCAGCCAGTGAAGCTAATCTGGAATACGTTCTCCATAGGAACGATCTTGGGAGAGAGGTCTTAAAGCAGATTTTCCCGTAAAATTGTCAGTCAGAATTAAGGTGGGTATCAGCTACCCTTTACTTCTGGCATAACCTCAACTAAGGTATTTGAGTAGGTGCAGAAAAGAAGACATTTTGATTACATAGCTAGTTATAACAGTTGCCAGAGTTTTTTTATTCAAATGAGAGTAACAGCTGTTGCCTTCAGCAACTCATTGTTTGTTATTGGTATAAACGCACAATGTTTCTGTTGGCAATTCACAACTCAGTGGCTATCACACAACAGAAACTCTTTGGAGATGTTGTCTTCTGCAGAAGAGAGTGTCCGTTTTTCCTTCTAGAAAGAAATGTTGTGTTTTAGTACAGAGAAAGGATTTGTTTTTCCAGAGTTTAGATTTTCTGTTGCAGGTTGCGTCTGCTGCCCTATCCATAACACCAGTTCATTCACAATTCCTGCTCTAAACAGGAAACTGCTTAGAGGGGCTAAGGAAATATGAAGTCAGATTCTCTCTTCCTTTTATACTTTCATAGTCCCCAGTAACTTTTATAGGGTTTCACAGATACAAAGTAGAGGAAAAATTTACTCCTCAAGAGGAAGGTGCAAGTAAGCAAAACCATAAATAATATATATATGAGCAGTAGAATTTCACAGCCCTAGAGAAAAAAAAAATACAGAGCACCTCACTGCTTCCTGTGAGAATCGAAGGAATGCAGAATTATTTTATAACAGCTAACATTAACTGCACCACTTTGTACTATCGCTGTTCTATTCTAGCCAATTTACAAGCTAGCTTTTCAACTTCTTTTAATGTTGCTGTACTTTAACATCAACTTTTAAAATGCTGCCTTCCTGTAGTAACGTGATTTCTACTAGGACATAGGATGGATTTTCCTAGAGGGGATTTGTTGAAAAAAAATGCTGTCACCTGAAAGATTACAGCTCCATTTGCTGGCAATAAAGAATACTGTGGAATGAACGAGACTTCGCCTTGCATGAAGACATAAGGTAAGATAGAAGAATGGCATTGTAAAATATCAGATTTATTCTTACTGTAAACTGATACGGGATGGTGGCTCAGACAATTTTTATCTTCTTTCAGATGGTCATTGACTGTGCATTCTTCTGTCTTTCGGGGGGAGGGTAAAGGGAGGCTGTTAATGAGCATTGCAAACAAAAAAGGAATACAGTCATGATAACCTGTATGCAGCTATCCATGCTGCAAGAAAAAACTGAGCAGGATTAAATCCTATACTTAAAAAAGGTGAATTAGATAATTACGGGATCAAGGTAAAGGAAGCTCGGGGGACTTTCCTGGCATCTTTATGAGCTGACTGTGGTTGTAGCTAAGGTATAGGCTTCAGAAAAGGCTGCATTCTTGCTAGCTGAAAATCAGGTTTGGTACTTCGTGTATTGTTTCCCAAAACCCAGGGATCCACTGATGGTTTTCATATGAAACATTCTTTTCATCCTTTCTTTTTTCTCCTCCAAAAGCGGAAAGCTATATCAATACATAGCAACAGAGAAACAATGTCCTTTCAACCTTTTCATAGAGCAAAACTGTGGAACATATGTGCACTAAACCCTTAGCTTCGCCTGGCTCTAGGTCTATCAGTTCATGAGTCACCTCTCCCACCTCCTAAATACCTAAGTGGCAGTTATTAACCACAAACTAGGCCTCTGAAAGATTTCAACCAGTGCAATTTGGGAATACCAAAATTAGCAAGTTTTCATACTTTGCAGAGACTGACACACATATATTACCCTGAATTTTTGAACTTGTTGAAGGAAAACTGTTAATATTAATACAAAAACACAGAGATATTTAGAGATGACTAACAGATAAGAATATAGAAAAAAGACAACTCACAGGGCTGGATGTGTTCAAATAAGTGAGTGTATATTAGTGATACTAATCACTAATATTGAATAGTGATGTTTGTTAGAACCAGAACACACACATATGTACACATTTCAGATGAATATAAATAAAGTTTCCTCTGGAAATGCAGAATGAACAGAGGATGGTCCTAAAATACAGCTCATTTCAGGTACCGTCACAGATTGAAAATCGAAAACTACTTACAGAAATTTCTCATCTTTCAAATGAACAATCCACTGCTTCCAGCAGACTGTTGTAGCAATCTAGTACTCTTTTTTTTAAGCACCGGGGACGTGTATAGAGACATACCATACACAAAGATGGTAAAACTAAGTAGTGAACCTGGTCGAACTGCTGAAGATAATAGTTTTGCTTTAGGTTCTTTCATATAACTATAAAGATGGATTAAAATTGGAGAGAGGTTCATGAAAAGCCCAACCAATCAGAGCAGTACATTTCTTGCACCTCCAGGAACTATAAACCGACAAAATGGAGGTACTAATGGGTAGATTCTATGAAAAGGAAAAGCACCCAGTTAGGAAATCTGTCGGTAAATTCATATTAGGAATTATACTAAAAATCTGTAATAAATTATTAATTTTATCCATTAAACTTCTATTTTCTATAGGGTCAATGAGAAATTGCAATTTTCAGGAACATACTCATCAACTAAATTGGGCTTGACTAAGCAGTGCTCATGCACGTGTTTAAGCATGCAGTAAGCATGTAATATAAGCAAGCAGTCTGCACAAGCTGTCACGTTTATTATCTTTTAGAACAGGGATATTTGCACCTCCCTCAAGTAAATCAAGGACAACAATTGTGAAGATCCACTGCACCAAAGAAGGTGAGTGACTTTGAAAAATCTTGATTTTAGTTTTTAGCACAATTAGTCTATATCTTTAATATTGGTCTAAAAACGTTAGAGATGCTTTAAAACAACAACTTGACCATGTTATTTCATAAAAAGGAGATTCTCTTAAAATGGTTAACAGGAAACTTGCCTGCAATCTCCAAATTAAATTTTAAGATATCATGTCTTGATAGTTACTATTTTTGTGAGGGACCATACATTCAAATAGACTACAGCCTTGGCGCTTGTAACCAAATTCAAGCCAGAAGGGGGGCAAAAAAAAAAAAAAAAAAGGAGGAAAAA